TATATATATCTCCTATAAAAATGTTATTTATGGATACCCATGTTTAAGTAGACGTTCTGTTTTTTTAAGACTGTCATTTACAGCTACAGGTTTGCACATTCAGGAGACTTCATAAAGATGGCTTCAATAAGTTTTCTCAAATATTCAGGCTGGTAGACAAAAAATAAATAAAGCGTCTACTGAAATATAAGTATCGAGTGAAATGTGTCACACAAATTTAATGTTCATTTTGTCATTTCGTAATCATATACAAATATTATATATATATAATATAAATAATATATATATATATATATATATATATATAAAAATAATATATATATATATATATATATATATATATATATATATATATATATAAGAATGTTTTCTTTTAAAGAATGAAAAAGCTTTATTGAAAATAAGTTTCTTTATTTCCTGATGAAATAATAACGTAACATGACTGGAGCTACTTGGGGAAACATTGTATAACTTGAGAAAACATATTGGTTTCAATTCTCCAAAGTTTTCGGCAGTACTTCCCTCTTTTTTTCTTATACGTATAATCGAAAATATGTTTAGAGTACAACATTTAATTAGCACTTTAAAAAACAGACATTTGGAAAGAATATACACATATAAACAAAAATATTTTTTTTGATGAATAATGCATTTTAACAAGAATTGTTTTAATTTTTTTTTTAAATCTTGATTAAAATAATTTATAAATTTTTAATTATAAAATTTCCTTATTAATCTGTACAGGTTATGTTATATTGTTATTAAATAAAAACTATATTTACTAATCATAAATGGAAAAGCTTCAGCTACAGACCACATTTTAAAAAGAATTTTTAATTTTTTTTTTTGCGTGAGTATAATCGTGCCGATTTTTGTAAATACGGATGTTCATAAACGATATTATCAGAAAATTAGAGCGATAACTATAGTAAATTTAAAGCCAAAGTAACTAAAATTCAATAAAACATTAGATTACTGAGTATATTTTCCTAATTTTTTAAAGATTCAATAGTTAAAATTTATATAAAAAAAAGAGGCACTTACATTATATTTCTCAAGTAAATTATAATCTCCACCGTAGCAACAATTAGATATACTTCCGTCTGTCAGTTATGCTGTCAACATCTTAAATAAACACCTACCCCCGTGTTAAAAAAATGAATTTCTGCGATATTTTAACCATTTATAAGTCATATTGGTTTCAAATCAGATTAATTAAACTTTAAATCAGCTATGTTTCTTCAAACGAAGTTTCAAAAACTATATTTTATTTTTGAAAGATTTTTTAATAAAGTGAATTACATTGTGATGACAGATGGCTAAAATTAGTAAGTTTTAGTGATTTCAAAACCAAAACTCCTTCCAGTCAATTCAAATTAGTTTTGAGATACAGTAATGTATTTTGCTTATTGAAACTATTAAATTAATTCATTAGCTTAAAATTAAAACTTAAAAGTTTTAAGATTTTCCATTTTTTAAAAATGATTTTAAACATTAGGTATCGCATTTCTTTGGAGGTAGCTAAGGAAAAACTAGGACGAAGTGGAAAAATTTTCGCGCAATGTGTTTCGTCATTTAGGACTTTATCAAACTAAAGCGATCTTTATGTTGGTGTGACTAGATATAAACACAAAGAAGAGGGACATAATGAGAGGCTGATAATTTTAAATTTATTTATTTTTTAAAAATATTTATTCTGGTTACATACTCTAGCCGATTTAATTTATTTTACTTTTCTTTTTATTCATATTCTCACCAATTTTGTGATTACATATCCCACATTGTGATAAGGTTTCCACTGTCAGTTTTTTCCCTAAAATTGTTCTTGATAGAATAGTTTTCCCTTTTATATTTACATATGCTCTATCTTATATTGAGCAATAGCACCCATAAATACTTTATATATATATATATAAAAAATTTTTTCATTGATTTTGTTTAGCGGCATATCAATCTCTATGGGTTATTTAATTTTATGGCTTCAACTAAATGTATTTTGAACGCAATTTCAACTACAGGTAAAAAACGATTGTTGGCCATTTTGCTTTAAATATATATTGTTGATAATTTTACTATAAATATGAATTTTGATTGCTTGATTTTGCTATACAAAAAAAAAAAATCAACCTCTATGTGTTATTTAATGCCGAAATCTAAATATTTTGTACGTAATTTTATGCTTTCAGGGTAAAGATATGTTGTTTTTTTTTTTAAATACATGTTTTGTACATCATAAAATTTGTTGTTGGTCATTTTATTAAAAAGAAAAAAAATGACCTGTTTATTTTGGTTTAGGGTTTCACTATTTGCCTATAGTCAGGACTCTGACAGGTGCTAACGCCTCGGGTCAGGCTGGATCTGGGAACAGCAGCAATGAAAATGTGGTCCCATGCTGCTCAAAACCTCCAATCTCCTTGCTGCCGGATATAGTTTATCGTAATACCCAGGAATACAGTAGATAGTTTAAAATATCTGGGTTTTAACTAATAGTTATTTTTTAAAAATCATATGAACATTCCAAACCTAGTTAACTACTGGGACGTTTACATCGTGAAATTTAAATCATACAGCACATAACATTAGTGTTTTTTTTTTTTCCACATCACAGTTAAAAAAAAATTAACTTTCAAATTTTGTCTTGAAGAAAAAAATCCTGATGATATTGTGTCAATTTTGAAAGTATTTGGAATCAATGAATATGCATCAAGATAGTAATTTTATCTCTTCTTTTAATAAGAAGGTACAGTGGCGTAATGGATAGCGGCTCGGAGAGCCGAGTTCGAATTCCAGTTACGTGCTAATACTCTTCGAAAAGGTATGAATTCTCTTCTCCCTCCAAATAGCAGGGCAGCCTTGGATGGCAACTACCACAGAAAGAAATGGCAACCTACTGCAGAAAAAAAAAAGAAAGATACATTATTGCCTAAGCATGATACATAACTGAGTTAAGAAGCTTGTCTTTGAATATAAGAGGACCCTATTGAAAATAAATAGACAAAACTTTAAAACTTACTTAAACAAAATCAATGAACAAAAATATATATATATATATATATATATATATATATAAGGTATTTATGGGTAGAATTGCTCAATATCAGATAGAGCGTATGTAAATATAAAAAGGGAAAAACTTGCCTAAATTATTCAATGAGATATGTCTTAATGAAAACATGCTGCCAAAATGTACTATATATATATATATATATATATATATATATATATATATATATAAGATGTATTATTTATGAAAGATATTATATATTATCTTCAGATTGATAATATATTTCACCCCCCCCGATATATGACTGATTCCATCAATAAAACCATTATGATTCTGAAGAAGTTCCTTCTTGGAAGGAAACACATCACTTAGGAGTTTTCCCATTTTATAATTAGCTCAATATATAGAAATGGAGAAGGGAATAATAATAAAAATAAACCTTATGATTGTGACCTCCTCCTCAAACCCCATCAAGTGTTACAATCAGATTAACAGCTTTTTACTGCTACTTAGCCAAAATTCAAACTATGCCTTTCGATTCCGTTTTCCTTGCATACATCTCTTTGCTCTTCCATCTTTAGAAATAACCTTCAGCGCGCCGCTTTATCCCTCGAGCCAATTCTTTAACTCTGCATTAAACAAAATCAACATTTCTGTATTTGTAGTAAATACGATAAGAAATTCGGATTAGATCGATTCTGGGAATCTCTAATAAGCCAAAAAGAGTTAGGAACAATGTTAAGTGAAAAAAGTATTTTTCAAAGGAAGACAATGGCGATGAGTAATATTTTCTCCATTGTGTTTTTTTTCCTTTCTGGATCTTTATGTCCAACAGGCCACTCGACTTTTCGGTTGAGTCATTTCCTTTTTCTAAAATGGCTTATATTGAGAAAATAAAATCAGTGATGAAAAGATGGAGAAAAGAAAAAAAAATGCGAATGCTGTTAGCATTTCCCTTCCCTGAATAAATCGAGGAAAATTACACGTCCGAGGTAAAAAGAACAAAATTAGTTTTGTTTAAGTGAAAAAAATTAACTGAATGTTAAAACTTTCTTTTTTTAATTAATTTCGCTCTCTTTACAGCTTCATGTTTAAAATGTTAGACTGGTAAAAAGTTGTATTTTCTGCTTTACCAGAATGCATTTTCTTCGACTATTCACGAAATCTAGAAGGTTTCATAGTTTCATTTGGGAAGACTTTCACAAAGTAGGTACATTGGTTGTTATTGGTTATTTGGTACGGGTACAAATCTCATTATATTGTCTACATTTTTTTGTTTGCTGTGTGTGTGTATATATATATATATATATATATATATATATATATATATATTATGTGTGTGTGTGTTTTATATATTATAGTTTATATCTGCAACCCACCGCGCCCTCAGATCTTTTAACCGCTCCAGAGTGGGTACCGCCAACTTTAGGAATTACTGTCGGAAACTTCCGCTCAAGGTTAGAGACAGACAATTTTTATGGCTTATCAACCCTTTGTGAATTATTTAAAAGCCAAAACATAAGTACTGACTGAGTTTGAGGCTGATTGAACGAGAACTGTTTTCTTTTTCAGCGCGATTTGATCGTATGCTACAAAGGCTAGGGAGTCCATTTACCCTGTTGCTTAACTCATGTGAAAAGAGATGGATTGATTGATTTGTTTGTTTTTTACGGCTTACCAACCTTTTTAGGGTTATTTAAAGCCAGAAAATATTTTTAAATTGTTAGAATTTCTTTGGAGAATGCTTAACCGATACAAGTTCTACTGTTTATCAACTCTTTGCAGGTTATTTAAAGCCAGAAAATATTTTTAGATTGTAAGAATTTGGGCCTGGGCGGGGAGATACTAGTTTAGCTGGGAGGGAGTAGAAAAGGTGGAGTCATGTCCTTCCCATGAGTCTTTGCGCATAAGTGAATATAACGAAACCAACAGGAATTTCAACTCGGCTCTCCGATTAACAATTCCGAACAATTATCCATTATCTGACTCGCACATTATAGCATCTGGTATTCCCAAGCAGTCACCCATCTAGGTACTAACCAGGCTCGATGTTGCTTAACCGGTGATCCTGCGGGAACCGGTGTTTTAACGTGATGGGTCCATTGTGTGAGAGAATATGAGAAAAGGAAAAAAACATTAAGGACAGAGGACAATAAAAGAACAGGAATTAAGAAAACAAAAGATAATGACTGACATTGCATTTTAAATTTTTGAAGATTAAATTTGGCTGGAAAGTAGTTTATAGGTTCAGTTCGAAATTTCCTGAAGTTTACCCGGAGCGACAAGCACCTGATGAAGGCTGGAAGGCACAGCTGAAACGTGATAACAACAACAAAGATGAGGACAATAGTCCGTGTATAAATAATGACAACTCCTCATCAAATATGAATCAGCAAAATTATTGGTCCCGATCTAGCCTTTCGGCTTCAGCCACTTTCCGACTGCAATAAGTCCCCCCCCTTTGCCTTTTCTATAAATCCTTTCATGGTAATTGTTTGGATGAGCTCTTCGCTATGGTGCCTTGGCTCTTCGAATTTAAGCGCAGTACTAGAGTGGTGTCGAGGTCTCATCAATTTGCACTTGAACTGGCTATATATAGCCGTAATCTCTATGCTAACGGCTACTTTTCTTGCACTTCTTGCTTATGGAATTCACTTCCGGTTCTATGCTTTCCAGCCAACTTTAATCAGCAAAAAATTAAATGCAACGTCAATCGTTATCTCCTGTCCTCCTGATTACTCTTCCTCTGTTCTCGCTCTTTAACAATGGTTTCTGTTTTTTAACTCTTCCTTGCCCAATAACCCCTTGCGTCTCGGTGGCTTTACTGCCTTACTTGGGATGAACTCGTTTAAAAAATAAATCCCAGAAATTCAGACTGAAACCATTGTTTGCTTGCCAAATGTAAACGTAAATCATCAGTTCCTTTGCGATAACTTACGTTAATTTTGAATTGGAATTGATTTACAAGAATTTCTGCCGGGATTAAATAATATGGTAATCCGAATGCGCCAAGTCAGACGAGTATGAAAGATGTGATGGAATTTCCCATTTCAAGATTTGTTACGAGCCATTTGTGCAATAGGTGCATTGTTATAGTCAGACAAGCATAATAGTGCAATTGTAAATATTTTCGGTGATGACTAACTGCATTTTAAAGCTCTCTGCAATAATATTTCTCCTAAGAATTGAATTTCTCGACAGAGAAGCGAAAAAAAAAAAAAAAAAAAAAGAGAGAGAGAAATAAAGAGGTTTCCGTACTTGGAAATTCTGGTCGTTATAGACTAACGACAAATATTCTCTATTTGCATAAATTCGAGCACAAAGGTCAAATTTAACATAATTACACTAGAAATTTCAACCAATTGAAAACGTTAATTCTCGAAAAAAATGACTATCATATTCATTCAAAAAAAACAAAAAAACAAACAAACAAAAAACAAAAAGTACACAAGAAAAATAATTTTAATACAAAAATCCACTATTTCTGTCTATATTTCTGAGATGAGGTATTATGTACATTATTCTTCAAGAAGAAGGCCGGAGCGTACAACGGCCGAAACGTTATAATAAATATGTCGACAAAGATGACAATAGTCCGAATAATGTAAATAATCCACTATTTCTACTTAATCTAATGATTCTTTTTAATTGAAGTTAGATTATGAAACCGTACATTAGGAAGTTGTGTAGAGCCATCATCGCTCACGGGACATACAAGAAAGCAACATGTGCTGGGCACCCAATGAGGATCGAACCACTGCTTTACGTTGAATCGCTTTAAGTTGCTATAGAGTGCTACCTGGTGTATTAATGGTTTGCTAAATTTTCTTGCTAACCATTGCTCCACGGTTAGTCGCCTTCATATTTACAAAGTAACAAAACATAGACATGAGTATGGGGCACTCGGTGAGGATCGGACGGAGAGAAATTGTTTCAACTACCTTTGCTAGCCATTATAAAATGATAGGATATCTTAGATTTCACCCAAGCCAAAAAAAAATGATAGCAATGTACAGTTTTTAAATATTAAAAATAGCAATGTATAGTTTTTGAAATATTACAATTCATTAATATAAAAAGAAGTTGGGGAGAATCATGATCGCCTATGTCCTGAAAGGAAACGAACAATACAGAATAGTGACACAAGGCTAAGAGGAAATGGGGAGATTGACTATCTTCATTAGCTATCCTAGTCAATCAGACTCACGACCCATTCATTTATTACAATTTACTCATTCACAAGAACTCGTCCATCATATGTCAATCCTGCATATAGAACATATTCACAAGGGACTTACAAAACAAAAAGGATACAGAACATTATGAAGCCGAGTTCTATAAATATATTTACATTGGCACAAGTATCAGTTTAATACCGTATATCGACATGTTTTTTTTTTGTTTTTTTTTTTTTAATTTTAAGAAATATGTAATAATCGAAATTATTTTACACAATTGTTCAGGAAAAATAAAATTTCACAATTTGATTTAAAACTAGAGGCAGAAAATTTGGTGTCGATTGTCTGGTCTCTTTTTCGTTGAAATACTGGAATAATGAGTCATCTTTATCCGCTTCGGTTACTTTCTTTCATTTGAATGTGGTTACTTAAAGCGTTTGGAATTTCTTCGCAAATTTCCTTTTTTTTTTTCTTCTGCGTTTTCATTCCACTGTTCCATAAAATGATCAGAGAGTATAAAATAAGAATATTAAACAAAAAAAAAAAAAACGAAAAAAAAACAAACAAAAAAAAAACATTGAAAATCTTTTTTTTTTTTTGTCGTCTTGTGTTCATAAAGAAATTTAAGCTTATTTCAAAGCGGATTCACTCCCACTTTTCTTTTTATTCTTTTCATCCCCAGCACCATCTTTCTTGCTACAAATGCACGCATTTTGGTTAATATCGAGCATTTATTTATTTATTTTTTTAAAAAGAAAAGAAAAAGAAAGAAATCTTTACCGAGCATAAGACGTTTACGAATATGTGTGCGATTTGCGTATAGAGCGTTACATTTAGCTTGTCTCCTGGTTACTGAAAAGTTCTGTTCAGCCCTCTTACAAAATTCTGATCAAACATCAGATACCCCTCCCCCGGAATCCTTTCTTAGTCAGGGTGAAAGCTTTTTCAGCACCTCCTCATAATGAAATAATGAATCGTAATTTCTTCTTCAATTTGATCATGCTATAACGATTGTCATCAGTCTGGCAAATTATGTTCCGGTGTCGATATTTTTTTTTTTTATTCCATCATTATTATTTATTGTATTTAAAATACAATTGGGGCACAAGGTCAAAATAGAAAGGGTTGAGGCTGGTCATCACTAACTATCTTATACCTAGCTAATATGATTCACGACCCATTCACACATTACAATTTCCACATTCAACATAAGATCTCGTCCGTCACCGATCAATCCTCCATACACCATAATACCACATCCTCTCAAGGGGAACCTACAAAACGCACCCCATGCCTTAAAATTCAAATGATTATAAAATATGTACTTAAAAATTCATGGATGAATAGAATGAGAGGGGAGGGAATGAACCCCAAAACAAAGTAAATATAAACACAAAGTCAACTAAACATAACTGATGTTAGTAGGGCCCGTCCAAACCCTTAAAAAAGAGAGGCTGCTGTATTCTACCCCTTGGACAAAATCAAGAAGCACTCTCGCTAAGGGAAAACGAGTGGGAAAGGAGAAAAATATACGGACATGGGAAATAAAAAGCTGACCCAGTCGAGATAAAAAGGGGCCGAAACAAACTAGGGAAGTTGGGAATCTCAACTTGGATCATAACCAAAGAGGATCCCGGGAACAGACCAGGAACAACTCTTACTCACATTAACTAAGTACACAAAAGCTTGTCTAACCTAACCAAAGGGAGGGCTCCACAGTAAACCACCCCGATGTGACGTAGGCTTGACCTAAAAGAGAAAATCAAGGCTAGCCCCGTTCAAACGAACCAAGCTTGCCTCTTTCACCCACATTTCGCTGAAGACTGTCGAATGCAAACGTTTTCTATCAGTTCTAATCTTCATCTTGAGCTGATGCTCAAAGAATCAGTTTAGATCCTGATGAGAAAGACGAGTGCCCCGCAAGACTTCCTCCATTCGCGTCGTCCAAATCACTATTTGAGCCATGGCCAGCAGCGTCAGAAACACCATTCGTTTCACCCCAGAATACGGGGGCGACACATTGTCACACGCGTATGCGCAATCAATGAGCACGAGATTTTCGGGAGCGAGACGAGTCGTCATCTCGCCGACATGGTCCCATAAGGGGCGGACCCGGGGACAATGGTAGAAGGGGTGCGAAGCCGTTTCCTCTAAACCAAGGCCACACCGTTCACAGTCTGGCAAATCAGCCAAGCCCCATATGAGAGGCAGCAGATTCCGAGCCAATCGCTAGGTAAGCGAAAACTCAGAGTTACTGAGATAATCCGCCGCTGGCGCCCAAGACCAGAAAGAGCGAAACTCCTCCTCCGACAAGTTGAGCTGCTCACGTAGAGAATCCTTCGCGACCCCCTCCACTAAATGACGATAGAAGACCTTCCTAGGCTGAGAAAGGAACAGCCAACATTATTTGAAATACGGAGTTCCTTAACGGTTAAAAGCGCACAAATAAAATTAAGATTTCAGTTGAAGCAGTATTGTTAAATGGTGAAATTGACCGTTTCCACATAGAATATTTAGCGATTATTTACTTTCGGTTGAAATCAATAAAATCTTTTTCTTAAATCAGGAAATTAGACTTCTCAAGTCAACTACATGTTATAGCTCTTTCTAATGATGTGAATTTTCTTTCAAATCTTTTAAGATTTGGTGGAAAGTTAGCATATAGTAGCGTGGAGCTTAGAGGTTAAAAATGAAAAGTTGATTTACCCACGCCAAGAAGATTAATGAAGGATGTTAATGACGAGGAAACACATGGGTCATTTTAACAAAACAAGATAAGGAATTTATTCACGAATTTACACGCTTGAAGTGGTGTCAGTAGCTCGTTTCAGGAAAATAAATCAGTTCTTAAAATCCGTAAGTTTAAAGTATTGTCATGAAGAGGAAACGTTCATACAACAGATTAAATGATC